GCACGTAAAAAACTAGTATACAAATAAACGTAATAATTGTTTCCTCCCTATGGAAAAATGGAGAATTAATTAAAAATTGTTGTTCATTAATTTGGTCCGTTAATTTTTCATTACAATAGAAAGAATGATGATTTGAATCTATACCTTGAGTAAAACCATGTGAGAGAATATGTTGCTAGCACGAACTTAACTCATTAGTTTAGTAAGTAATATTTGGGAGAACTGGAGAAGAAATCAATTAAGATTCGAACCTCAACAGTGTTGGAATTATGCCAAAAGTTGCCAGATCTCTTGTGCTGAGCCATTGAATTATCGTGATTTACATTCTCCCAAATGGCCAAATGCTATATCGGGCCTGTAGTGTGAGGGATTCTTGGGGTTGGTATTCGACATTTGGGAGAAGGTGAGTAAATATATTAGGGATCTTGGGGTTGGGATTCAACCTTTGGGAGAAGAAGTCCGTTTAACGGTCCAAAGACACCCAACTAATTACGTATTGTTCGCTCCGGGAGGCAAAGAAGCTAACCCAAGAGAAATCGTCACTTGTGAAAATTGATTCCAGATTATCCAAAAATTCTCTTCCCACAAAGAGAACTCATTTACCACTTGAGCTATCCCGTTGGGTTAGTAATGTACTCTTTATTTCATTATCTATTTATCAATTGTTGGTTTGAATATATATATATATATATATATATATATATATATATATATATATATATATATATATATATATATATATACTATACCTTGGATAAAATTGAGGGAGCAAATATGTTAGAGTAAATTCCAGCCATGGTCCTCCGACTATGTTGATTTTCCACAATTGGTCCTCAACTTTTAATTTGGACAATTTAAACACTTGACTTTCGAATTCTTTCCAATGTTAGTCCTTCCGTCAAATGAATGTTAAATGAACGTCAACTTGAGGGGTAAACAAGTCATTTCAAGTATTGAGTGAATATTTCGTCTTCTTTCTCTCTGAGGGATGAGCTGAACAAGATCTGTTCTTGCAAATAAGTTTCTAAATCCCTCTGATTTTCCAGTTTCTCATCTCTCTCTAGATCCAAAAATCTTGTAAGATGGCTCTAAAGGCGGAGAAGAAGTCTGCGGAAGAGAAGGCGCCGGCGGAGCAGAAATAAGTTTCTGAGAAAGCCGTTTTCTTCTTTCCCCAGTGCAATGGCGAATTCTGGGTTGGAACTGGCAGTGGGAAGGAACACAGCTTTGGCGAGTTGAACCCGGTGGGATTTCGAGTAGTTTGCCTATGATGTCCTCGAGGGCTACTCCAAATATGGCTGGGGTAGAAGCGTCTTATGATAAATCAGTGTTTATGGAGCTTGCGTTTACTGCCATGAATGAGCTGCTGAAGCTTGCTAAATCGGGGAGCCTCTATGGTACCCAAGCTTGGATGGATTCGCGGAAGCGTTGAACCTTGAGGAATTTGATAGGACATTTCATTCTTGTCTTGGAATGAGGCCAACTAACTTCATAACTGAAGCAACTATAGCGCGAGTGGCACCGTAATTTTCAACATCATGGCCCTTGTAGAAACCTTAATGGACGCCGTAAATTGAGTTTTGTATTTCATGCGGTGAACTCCAAATTCTTTCTCCATTGGTACCCCTTCACCATGTGAACTCCATATTCTATTGAGTACTGCCAATCTGAAGATGTGTAAATCGAGGGCATCCATACTACAATATTAGTATATGAATACACTTGTATTGTTTTCAAAAAAGCAAATACACTTGCATTTTTGCATCTCCAATAAATAAATTGTTGGGTTTTTGGTTGAAAGGTAAAAGCCCCGGAACTGTCACCTATTTCCCTCCACAAGCTTTCTGTGCAGTGCTTCTGTTCTTGCACAACCCTGCGCATAGCCACATATGCAGGATTTGTCTGCTAACCACGACGCTTCGTGACCTGGATACAATCTAATAATGTGCTCTCTTTCATCATCCGTCTTGAAACGATGAAGAGGAAATATACCCTTAGTACTTGAAAAGACACTTTTACCCCTGAAATTAACATTGACTTAACCTTCATCTAACGAAAGGACTAACATTGGAAAGAATTCGAAAGTCAAGTGTCTAAATTGTCTAAATTAAAAGTCGAGGACCAATTGTGGAAAATCAACATAGTCAGAGGACTATTTATGGAATTAACTCAAATATGTTATGTGACAATTTACATTTAAAACTCATTTCCAACCGTTAGTCTTGATGATATCTAAGTAAATACGGAGTAATAATTTATAAGAATCATACCAAGTGTTTTGTAGTCCACTGGTATTTGATTGCTTTCTTAAATGGGAGGTGAAAGGTTCGAATCTTATTTGAGGTATAAGTAGTGTGTATGTAGGGTATCTCTTTCTTTTAAAAAAAAATAAAATAAAATTATGAGAATCATGAATTCACGATTGTCACGTGCTTACTGCATGAATTAAAAAGAGAAATAGTGGGGCCCAAATCGTGATTAATCTGATGGTTTTGAGCCACCTACTTCTTGCCCTTTTGGTTCCCTTTTACACTTTGTACATAATTAGGTCCCTACTTTTATTTATATTTGTGATTTTACATATGACTCTATTACATGTATACCAAATTATACTCCATCACTTTTACCTCATAATGTGATGTTTTTATTCTTTAGATCTCAATAAAAATATCTATATCAAGAATTTGTAAGAAAAGAATAAAAGTTGAAAGAATAAGGACATCTTCAATAGTGGGGAGTTTTGATGCGGTATTTTATAAGTTTTTGTAGGTGTAATTATGAAAGAGAAAATGAGAGAATGAGGTTAAAAAAAAAAAACAAAAAACAAAATATCAGTGCCCTACTGGGCCCGAATGTGCATCCCACTCTCCCCTTCCCTGCTTGCTTCTTTCCTTTGTGGGATCCACACAAGGGGACAAAATCCCCAACCTCTTGCAAGCAACTCTCTCCTCTCTCCTTCACTTCACACCTTTTGCCTAAAATACGTGAACAACCCCCCTATTGGAGTTGCTCTAAAAAGTGGAAATTTATGTAGTATTTTTCACCCAAAATTACTTGTATTGTGGTTAGTGACTAAATAATTTAGTTAATCAATTGCTTTTAAAATTTTAATTATCAATTAATTTAGTTTTAAACTTTATTTTCACCAAATTAACTAAAAATTTATCAAACCAATTATTTTTATCATCTTTAGTAACATAGTTTATCAACCAACTTTGACTTGTTTGACCACTATTAGTTATTTGACTTTGTGAAATAGTCAATATGAGTGCTTTCCTATAAAAAAAAAATGAGTGCTTGATTAATCAACTTTTTGTAACAGCTTATTACTCTAAAAAATTAAAATTCAAAGATTTTTTTTTTCCAATCAATTTTTTTTGAGAAAATAAATTATTTTCTCCAAAACAACCCCAATAAATTTTATTTAAAAAAAAAAAAGAATGTGTAGACATGTTCATCAATCCCTTCTACTAGTCTTATTACTCACATTGTCTCTTCACGGTACTAGGCAACGAGGTGCTTGAGCCCGTCGATGGGCTCATAAGCACGTTGCCTAGTATCGTGAAGGTTATTAGCAACGAAATATGTGATTATTGATTAGTGTTTTCACGCTTCCAAGCCCAAGAAAATATGTTTTTTTAAAAAAAAAATATAAATTCTATCATAATAATAATACTATTATCGTTGTTGTTGTTGTTATTATTATTATTATTATTAAAGATTTTATTATTTTTTTATTATAAGTTAAAACATCATAATACACTCACATCCTTAAAAATGTCTAATGATAAATATGTTACCGGAAATATATTGTAAAGTAACGAATAAGAAAGTGACAATAGTTGTATTGCCTTAGTTTCAGTATGGAAAGTACAGTGTGTACTCCTCCCCCATTGCTAGCTGAGGGGAGTTCTATTTATGCTAAGTCCTAACGGTAACAACATGAAGAGTCATAATTGGGGAGCTGAGGCTAACGGTAATAGCATGAAGAATCATGAATGGGGCGCTCAGCTTTAATCTCTCCCTTCAATGCAATGAATGGCCATAATGTTTCCACCCGTTGGTGTTCTACCCGTTAGAGTTCTGCCTGTTGGAATTCCACACGATGTCGGGTTAAATATGGTGTCGGGTCAGGTGCTGCTTATGATCCGGGTCGGGTGCTAGCACCATTATCCTGTCACCAGTCCCCCCTACTCCTGAGTCTACGGATGTGTTTGAGTTGACTTGGGAGTAAGGCCGAATTTGCTTGATATCGTGCAGAATCCCGGTTGATCCCGAGTATGTGATTTTTATTTTCCAAATCACACATGAATTTTTATTTATTTATTTATTTTTTATGCTGGCCGAGACGGGCTGCGGCTTAGGCTGGCCGAGGTGCGTGCCTCCGGTCGATCACGGCCGAGGCGTAGCCTCGACCGATCGTGGCCGAGGCGTGCACCCTGGCCGATCGCTCGTGGCTCGATCGCTCGTGGCCGAGGCGTGCGCCTCGGTCGACCGTGGCCGAGGCATCGCCTTAGCCGATCGCGGTTGAGGCGTCGCCTCGACCGACCGTGGCCGAGGCGTGCGCCTTGGCCTATCGTGGTCGAAGCGTCGCCTCGACCGATCGTGGCCGAGGCAAGCTCTGCCGTTTTTTTTTTTTTTTTTTTTTTTTACGGACAGGCTGAGGCGTCGCCCCGGCCAGTGGCCGAGACGCGGGCCTCGACCTGGCCGAGGCGTGCGCCTCAGGCCCCCGACCGAGGTGCTTTATTTCCGGTAACATATTTACCGTCAATGTCATTTTGCATGTAATCAGTCATCAATTTACAATTAATTTACCAAACATCTTTATTTTTGTTGTTTTTTTTACTTGATTGAAAAAAATCAAAAAGTTAAATAATTGCACGGGTTAAAATTACATTTATTTATTTTACAAAGGCTAAATTGATATTTTAATATTTTGCAAAGGCTTTGTTTGTCAATTTGTTTGGCCCTTATGAAGCACGAGACTGCAACGGACCGCCATATTAAATGGTAGAAGAAGATAGAGGCCATACGGTATCGTCCTTGGTCCACAGATTCACGCAATCACACGCACTGTATATATACGCGTATATACGATCGTAGATACGCCGTATACATATGTATTCATACGCACGCGCAGCCATCAGCCACAAATGCGCACCTACCACGCTCATATAGCGAGTCTCTTCTTCTCTGAGCTCATCACTCGCTCGACAATGGAGTCAACATTGCTCGCGGCGCCGGCAACAATGTCTCTGGTAGCGCTATCCAAATCCGTGAACTCGAACTCTGTGCTGTCGGTTTGTCACTTCCGGCGCTGTTTCGCTACGAATCGGGCAAGTCAGATTGTGCTGCTGAGTCGGCTTGCTCGCGCGCAGCTCAGAAGCGGAGGGGATCCGAGCCGGTTCGGATCGGTTTCGCTGAGAAATAGCTTGAAATCGGGGGACTTACAGCCTGTTCGACGGGAGGTGCGGAGTGTCTCTGGCTCTGCAGCTTCCTTTGCAGCCGGAGGTGGAGGAAATGATGGATTAAGTGGAAATGGCGGCGGCGGCGGCGGTGGTGGTGCGCCGGAGGGCGGGAAGGAGAATCCTAGTGTGATTGCGGCAGCCGGAGAAGATGCGTCTGTTGTATCTTCTGATGTCATCATTCTAGACGTTGGTGTAAGTTCACTGAAAATTAGTTCATTTTATATTATCTTAAAAAGAAAAAGAAACTTAAAATTTTCTTATCAACTTATATAGGGAATGACATGCGGAGGATGCGCAGCAAGCGTGAAAAGGATTTTAGAAAGTCAAGTAAGTATTTCGGCGAACTTATGATGATTGATTGATTTTATCTTTTGCTTTTCTGTTTTGAATTAGAAATTCAAGTATTTCTGTTCTGGATTGAATTTAGAAAGTTGAAGTTCTGGAGTTCAATCCCCCGTCTCATTCTATTGTGCCTTAAAAAATTGTTCTTATTGTTGGAGGTGATTATTAATCAATAATTATGTGTTTATGAACAGCCACGGGTTTCTTCAGCTAGTGTTAATCTTACAACAGAGACGGCTGTTGTATGGCCAGTATCTGAAGCCAAAGTTGTTCCAAATTGGCAACAACAATTGGGAGAGGAACTTGCAAAACACTTGACAAGTTGCGGATTTAAAGCTAATGTCCGAGGTTAGCACTGCTTTATCATGCATCTTCATACCTGTGCAACTGAAGTGACTGTGTTAAACACCATTGTCATTATCTTCATCTTTGGAAATATTTCAGTGGTCAACTATTCAACTTTGTTCATCCTGTAACCAAACAGTTGAATGTTAATAACTTCTACAATTAGAAGATTGCTAGGGTGCAAGTGTTCTGATGGTGTAGGTTTTTGGTGTAATATATCTAAGATGTGTGATAAGCTGGAAAAAGAATCTTTTAAAAACTTGCAGACAGTATACATACTTCAGGGTTTGCCCCTCACTCATATTTTTTGGGGGGCCAAGGGATTACTGTTTTTTTTTATATTACTCCGTACTTATCTAGATTCTAGATTATGGTTCTTGACTGATGACTTAAAAGAACCTTTGCATATCATGCTCTTCTACCATATTATTTGTACATGCAAATGACCTTTAGTGAGCATCAAAGACCAATTAATGGAAAAGTTCAAGCTTTCTTTCTCAAGTATATATAAACCCATAATGATAGAAGAATTCAAGGATTAGATCATACAAACTAGTTTAATCAGGTTGAAATCTCATACTCTTTATACAATTTGATAAAGTAGAGCGTAGTGCCGTAGTCTTGAAGTGTAATGTATGTTTTTGAGGGTTCCTCTTCTAAACAAACCAAATCCATTTTCCCTTTAGTGGGATCTGATTTGTGGATTCTGCAACATTGTTCTGATCTATCTGTGTCTATCTGGTTTCACTAAATTAAAGGAGCAACGACGTCAATTCTAGTCAGTTAGTGTGTCCTTTAAATTGTGACAAAATTAAAATGTGTCAGGCTTGGGCTCCCATATAACTTATATGAAGCTTGGTGGGTAATTGACAGGTCAGGGAGCTATTGAAGGAGAAACCCTATCTTGAAATGCAAAAGGTTTACCGTAATGAGCAACCATTGTCCTTCATGGTATGTCCCCGTATACTGGCATATAGTTCAAACCTACTTAAGGGTATCTTTTTCTCTTTAGTTACAAAACCTAGGTTCACAACTTCACATTGTTTTTAACAAAAGGATTTTTTTTTCATCAATAGGTGACCTGGCAGCTAGTAGTGGTGAATTTGTTGAAGGAAGCCATTGATGTCCTGAGGAAGCCTATGCATTATGGATAATTAGAGAACTTTTTACTAACCTTAGTCAATAGAAACCCTTAGTCCCGCTGAAAGTAGTTCTGTTTTGAAATGTTAGACATAGATTTGCCATCAAATGATGGACATGCTGTCATGCCCTTCACCTTTCTTATATGGTTTTCTAGTATAGTGGCTGAGCAATGCTTCTGATGTTCTCTAGCTATGCGTTTCTATAGTTGTCTTGTTGTATGTGCAATGTTGGGAAGTTTTTGTTCTATGTGAAACCTTAATAATGTTTAATTGAAAAATATCTTGGTACTCTACGTGCCCTTTTTGTTTGCGTTATTTATCCTCTGATGTAAATCCAAAGTTTGATTTTGGATTTTTAAATTCCATTCCGTTTTCTTCTGCTGGAATAAAGAAAGTAATTATTGTCAGACCCATGTAATGTGTCAAAAAATGATAAACCAATCTCTTTATACTCCATAGTTGACATGTCTTTGTCTGGTTGGGCAAATTTCTGTCTTGCTAAGCAGAGATTAAAAACTAACAAACACCTATAGTTAATGGTTGATCTGGATGCATTTCATATTGAGATAAATTTCATATCTCCTTGTGATTATAAAGTCATACCATGATATTGAACTTAATATCTGCAACTTGAATACCTCCTTGAATGCAGATTCCAGAAGAGAGAACTTGTTTGAAACATTTGAAAAGAAGATGAATGCAAAGCGTGCTCAATTACAAGCAAGTGGTACTTGCCTCATATAAAGTTTAGGGCTTGGGAAAATTGTCTTCATATTTGATATATTTATCACATTAAACCATGAAAGTAACAACTTACCTTCCAACAGGTCGTGGGCTTGCTGTCTCTTGGGCTTTATGTGCTGTCTGTCTTGTAGGCCATCTTTCTCATTTCTTTGGAGCTAAGGCTTCATGGATCCATTTACTCCATTCAACAGGATTTCATATGTCTATGTGTTTATTTACATTGCTTGTTCCTGGTCGACAACTTATAATTGATGGTTTGAAAAGTCTTCTTAAGGGGGCACCCAACATGAATACTCTAGTTGGTCTTGGGGCCTTATCATCTTTTGCTGTGAGCTCGATGGCAGCATTTATACCAAAACTGGTAATTTGTTGTATTGATCTCATGAATGTGTTTCTCTCTTTTTCTTTTTTGTTACTTATTTCAGTTTGTTTTACAAGCAGTAAATCAGTATCTCATTTCAAAAAATTTAGTGGGTGCATTTGCTCTCTGCTTTACTCTATTGCATTCCACCTAACCTGTGCTAATTTATCCTTGGATCATATACAGAATTCTATATTGCATCCTTTTATGGAACTTCCTCACATGTAGGGCTGGAAAGCATTCTTTGAGGAACCTGTTATGTTGATTGCATTTGTTTTGCTGGGAAGGAATCTTGAACAGAGAGCTAAAATTAAAGCCACAAGTGACATGACAGGCCTTCTTAATGTTCTGCCATCTAAAGCTCGTCTTGTAGTTAATAGTGACATGGGGGAACAGACCTCAACTGTCGAAGTTCCATGTAGCAATCTGTCTGTTGGAGATCAGATCATTGTACTACCCGGGGTAAAGTGTACTGTGCTTTACTTTTGTATATTTTGTTGTACCAGGAACGGTGTCTTGTATAGGTCTGGCAATACAATAAATAGGCTCTGTTGTTTTTCTGCTTTCATGCCAGAAGCTCCTTGACCCTTTGCTTAAAATGGAAGGGTTCATATGCCAACCATCATTAGTAGCTATACTTCAATATTCTAATAATGAGCTATTTAATTCTTTAACACCCATGCTTCGAATATAACAGGATCGTATCCCTGCTGATGGAATTGTCAGAGCTGGTAGAAGCACAGTTGATGAATCAAGTTTCACAGGGGAGCCTTTACCTGTCACCAAATTGCCCGGGGTAGTCAACTTCTTCCTTCCCCCCCCCCCCCCCCCCCCCCCCCTTAAGCATTATCAGTTATCATGTTGCTTAAAATAGTTCTCTTTATTTGAATTGCATTATAGTTCATTCTGCTTCTGTACTAGGCTCAAGTTGCTGCTGGGAGTATCAATCTAAATGGGATGCTTACTGTTGAAGTGCAAAGACCGGGGGGTGAGACTGCTATTGGGGACATTGTTCGATTGGTTGAAGAAGCACAGAGTAGAGAGGCTCCTGTACAACGATTGGCTGATAAGGTTGTTATTTCCATCATTTATGTTATTTTTTTCAATTGAATGAACAATATACCGTTAGCTTCTCCTCTCTCCCTATCCTTCCTTTACTTTCTAGGTGTCCTTTTAATAATTGATCTTTTCTGTATGCCCCAACAGTAAACCCTACTGTTTCTATGCAAAACTAGGTTTCAGGACATTTTACTTATGGAGTAATGGCACTTTCTGCCGCCACATTTATGTTCTGGAACCTCTTTGGAACACGTGTTTTGCCTGCCACTCTTCATCAAGGAAGTCTAGCTTCTCTGGCATTGCAGCTCTCATGTAGTGTCTTGGTATGTTGGTTGTAAATTCATGACATCATCCTTCACATTGGGTTATAACTTCAAGGACTCTCGTATTCTATTACTCCTGCAGCATTTTAATATGGTGTTCCTTTATTTCATTTGTCTCTTTACTCATTCAACGACTTGATCTTATCATCTTAATATTTTTCATTCTGTAAATGTTATGTGCTATTATTCCTATTGCCATTTATCTGCATAGCCATTCTTGTTTTGTCTTCGATGTGACTAGAGTATGGTTTCTGGGTATAGGTTGTTGCCTGTCCGTGTGCACTTGGTTTGGCTACCCCGACCGCTGTGATGGTAAGATTTGTGAACGGAATATAGATCCATCCGTGACAATTGAAATAGTTTGATGTACGTTTTTATAATTGACTGACAAGAAGCTTTTGATATAAAGGTTGGAACTTCACTTGGTGCCACACGGGGATTGCTTTTGCGTGGTGGAAGTGTCTTAGAAAGCTTTTCTATGGTGAATACAATTGTATTTGACAAAACAGGAACGTTGACTATTGGTAGACCCACCGTCACAGAAGTTGTTCCCCAAGGTCACAATGACGAGACAAATGCAAAGTTAGTAAAATCTATCATGAAAAAGATTTTCAAAGTTCAGAGCTATCTTCACTGCTGAAAATGGAAGTTATACCAGTTTGGATTACTCATTATGCTTTTAAAAGGTAATAATAAGCACTGTTTTTGGAACAGACGAGATTCAACTTCGACTTGCGAATGGTCAGAAGTTGACGTTCTGACGCTTGCTTCTGGGGTGGAATCGAACACCAACCATCCCATTGGAAAAGCAATTGTAGAGGCTGCTAAGTCTAGGAACTGCCGGATTGTAAAGGTATCTCTCTTGCTTGGTAATGATTCACGACCTCTTGTAGCTACGCATGGCTTGCAGGGATGTAGTTTGTTTTGTTTTATACATCACTTTGGTGCAGGCAGAAGACGGAACATTCATAGAGGAACCTGGATCAGGTGCAATGGCAGTTATTGAAGAGAAAAAGGTTTCCGTTGGTACATTAGACTGGGTTAGAAGGTACTCATTCTTTGCACTTAGTTTGCCATTTTTCCTTTTTGCCGTGAAAATACTTTGAAAGCTGCAAATTTTCTGATGTTGGTGCATTATCGTAATCACTTGGGGGCATGCATACATGCTTGGCGGCATCTCCACTCAGGCTGTTTGATTCATTCAGATTTTATGTTTTCCGACACGTGCAGGCATGGAGTTGGTGAGACACGAGTCCAAGAATTCGACGACTTTAAGAACCAATCAGTTGTATATGTAGGAGTAGATGGTGTTCTTGCTGGCCTTATTTATGTTGAAGATCAGCTCCGAGAAGATGCCCGGCATGTTGTTGAATCCTTGTCTAAGCAAGGGATAACCACTTATTTGCTATCAGGAGACAAGAAAAACGCTGCTGAGTATGTAGCATCAGTTGTCGGTATTCCCAGGGAAAATGTAAGTATTGCACTTTATGCTTCTTATTTTATCTTTCTAAACGGCAAAATGGAACCGATAACTTGGAGATCAAGAATACTTCCCCTCCCAAATCCCAATTACTGGAAATGGCGTTTTGTGCAGGTATTTTATGGAGTCAAGCCTGATGAAAAAAGCAAGTTTGTGAGCGGACTTCAGAAGGATCAGAAAGTTGTAGCTATGGTTGGTGATGGAATTAACGATGCTGCTGCCTTGGCATCGTCACATGTAGGAGTTGCTATCGGTGGGGGGGTTGGGGCTGCAAGCGACGTGTCTTCTGTTGTGCTGATGCAGAACCGGCTGTCTCAGGTTTGTAGTTTGAACTTTGCTCTAATTATTGCTCTTCATGACTAAACTTGTCTCAACTTTTGAACTTTATACAATCTGAGGTTATCTACAACTCCCGATTCCATACCTGTAAAACCATTGACCCACTTTCTTGTGCAGTTGCTCGACGCGCTGGAGCTAAGTAGGCTTACCATGAAGACCGTGAAACAAAACCTCTGGTGGGCATTCGGATACAACATAGTGAGTTCTTTATTCAATCTTTCAACTTTACTATATAAACCAATTGACATCTCTAAACTGGCAGGTTTTATATGAGACTGTCTCACATAAAATAGATCTCAAATATGTAATTTTATTTACAAAGTCATTAAGTATTACATATCTGAGATCTCTCGCGTGAAACAATCTCACACAAGTTTGTGTGCCCGGATCAAATTATTGTTTGAATTACTATAAATCGCAAACTTCATTCTTTTGATCTTGGCAGGTTGGACTTCCGGTAGCAGCCGGAATCCTGTTACCATTCACCGGGACCATGCTCACTCCATCCATCGCCGGAGCTCTCATGGGGTTGAGCTCCATCGGTGTGATGACAAACTCATTGCTCCTACGGCTAAAGTTTGCATCAAAACAGAAAGAAATTCAGGGACCGTCGGTAACAATTCAGATCCCTTCCAACAGTGATGATAGCGATAATAATAGTCATAAAGAAACATTGAGGCAACCTTATACGGAGAGCAGATGATGGTAAAAAACCTCGGCTTCCAAGAACAGCAGCAAAGGCGTTGCAAGTTGCAACTCCCTGTGTATGGTTCCAGCACCCAATCTGTAAACAGAATGCAATCCTTGAAAGACAATACAGAATTATATATAGACATATGACTATATGAAGTAGCCAAATTCTATTCCCATTTTTCTCCCGCGCTTAATTTAATAGGGGTCATGATGTTTATCCATTTATTTTTCTCTTACTTTAATCAAATTTGACAACAAGTAAGAGTAAAAGTTTAGAGTACATTTAAGTATTTTTGTATGAAGTAATGAAAGTAAGAGTGTAATGCATTTTTACACGTTTACACACTGTTAAGTATTTCATATAACAGATCCCAACATTCTACAAGAGGTTATATACTGAGTAACAACAAAATGTATGAGGAAAAAAGAAAGATAAACAAAAGAATTTGCAAGCATGATGATGATCAGCTTGGAGGATTGAAACATCTTTAACCTACAACCTCAGAGTCTTGTGAATCCATGAAACCCAAGTAAGAAAGGAAATCAAAAACCTCCCTGGTGGGAGACGACGGGGAGCTCCAAAATCTTGCTTCAGAATGAGAAGGATTTGGTATGAATGTGATTTGTGTTGGGATAGGAAGTGCCATTAGAGACGCCCTGCTGCTTTGACTGCATTGAAGCGGTGAAATTTTCACACCATGTAAGTCATACCAACCTGCATTAAGTGCGAATGTGGCACGCTCAGATTTGTGATTCCCCTCCTGCTGTTTTTTCTCAGGAAGGCGTAGAAATAATTTATGATGAGCTTCTTAATGAACCAAGAATCCTTCCTTGCCCTGATATTTCCATGACCCAGAAGGTAAACAACACCAGATTCTTTGGCCTTGTGTAGAAAAGACAGCTCCGTCTCGAGACTCTGCTCTGCTTCAGACAAGTTTGAGTTATCTGAAGGCCCCGGCTCGTGCCCATAAGAGGTGCTTTCTTTAACACCTGTTTTCCCGGTGATATCAGCCAAGAGAGGAATACCTAGTGTAGACCTGCTCCCATTCGGAGCTACAAGGACCCTTGAAAAGGTGCACTTGTTTTCATTATTCGAGTCATCATCTTCATCACTTTCGAGTTCCCTTTCCTGAGCTTCTTTACGAATGAACTTCTCAAGACTCTCAATCAGCAGCTGCTCAAAAACCTGGTGATTTTCTTTGCGGGCATCCTTGTAACCATATCTGTTGGTCCACAAAGTTGGAAGACTTGTTAGAAGACAGGTTATTACCCCCAAGAGGCCCGAAAAGATACACAAGGTCATGCACGCTATGATCTCCAAAGAATTAATATTGATGCAAAACATAACCAAAAAAAAGAAGAGGAAATAGCAGTGTTTCCATGATCTGTTTGCAAAAGAAACCAAACCTATGCCCATAATCTACAAGAGATGTGGAATCCCAAGTATACAAAACAATGTTTCTCAAACCGATTCAAATCTTTGTGTCATGGGCCAATTAGGAAACATGATTATTTGATTTTTAAAAGCTAATAGGCAGATAAACAGGAGTTAACAATTAACATGCTTACCGGGCAATGCAACGGAATATGTGGTAGCTTTTCAGGCAGACGCGTCGGAACAAGAATCTTTCTTTTTGAGACACAACAGGAACAGGAACATATTTTATACACACAAAAATTATCATTGAATGTACAGCCGGAAGGGAGGTAAGGAAATGCCCAAAAATTGCTGGTATTCCCTTCGCCAGTTCATTGTAAAGCAATCCAATTCCAGGAGCTCTGGTTGTTCCTAGGTTGGGGCCCAATTCCCGCAACAAATCCACGGACATTTTATTCTTGACTTCAGTTTCATACTTCAGCTTGCTTCCATAATTCCATATATACATTATTAGAAACAAGACAACAGCAAAGACTAATATGATCCAACTTCCATCTCCCACACACCATAACACCGAAGAAAAGGATGCCAACTCCAAACCCAAGAAAATAAAAACAAAGCTCAGCACAATAAGAATGTTTATCTGCCAGATGAGAAGCATAACAATAGTTACAAGGGCTGTACTCATCATCATCACGCCAAGCTCGGCAATACCTGTCATACAAGATATGAATCAGATAGATACAAACCAATGCAGAATTAACTAGGAAAGATTGAAAGCATTTAGTAACTGCTTGCTTTTCATTTTGCCAACCTATAAAATTAACTTGTTTATTCACAAACAACTTTTTGGTACAGCCACTTCTCTCAATTGACTCATTTACCAATCAACCACCAGATTGCATTTGATAACCACACTCCTATTACTTCTATAGTCTTGGCATGAATATAAATTACCATATAATGGCTGGCCAAAGCATAATAAAAAAGAGGAATATCATAGAAACAAGGACTTCAAGCATTACCATAAGCATTTCCTATCTCATAAATGTTTGAGATAGAGCAAATCAACACCAACGACAATGCCAGCAGAAACCAGTTCATAACTGGGATATAAATCTGCCCCATGAATATCCTTGATGTGTGAATAATTTTAAGGCGAGGGAAGCATCCTAGAGCTATTGATTGTTTAATACAAGAAAAAGTTGCTGTTGTCATTGCTCTGCTGGCAATCAATGCTGCTACATTAGCAATTAAAAGGACCGGCCAAAAAGCTCCACCTGTATTATAAATGAGAAACTTCTTCAATATTTGACATTGTTTTCAGTTAGATACTTAGCCTCATAGAAAATTAATCACAATGCAGAATGAAGTTGTCAAAACCTATGGGGTCGTTTACTTCATTTCTCTGTTTTTCCATTTCTCCAGTTCTCCTTCTCCATTCCTCCAGTTTTCCATTTCTCTATTCCTCCAGTTTTCCATTTCTCCATTCCTCTAGTTTTTCATTTCTCTAATTTTTTATTTTAGTAAATACAATCATCCCATATAGCATTTGTAATAATAATAATAATCATCATAATAACAAGAACAACAACAACAACAACAACAACAATAATAATAATAATAATAATAGCAATCAGAATAATAATAATAATAATAATAATAATAATAATAATATGAATAATAATAATAATAAGAAGAATAGCAATCAAAACAATAATAATAATAATAATAATAATAATAATAATAATAATAATAATAATAATAATAATAATAATAGCAATAAGAATAACAACAACAATAATAATAATAAGAATAGCAATCAGAATAATAATAATAATAATAATAATAATAATAATAATAATAGTAATAATAATAATAATAATAATAATAATAATAATAATAATAATAATAATAATAATAATAATAGCAATCAGAATAAAAGAAGTGGGAGACGCCAAAAAGACAAACTGAAGAAATGGCGACAGCAGGAGTCGAACCCGGAACTTCAGCTTCAGCAGCACTGTTCATCCGTGTCTTCCCATTTCTCCATTTGGAGAAGTTGGTTTTTCAATTCTCCAAAATCCTTAAGAAGAGTGGAGAATGGAGATGGAATAGAGATTTGGAAGAGTAAATTTAGTAAACAAGTTTTCCATTTTTCCTTTTTTCTACCTCTCCAATTTTTCTTTTTTCCAAAAAATCCTCCATTTCTCCACTTTGGTAAACGACCCCTATATTTCTATAGATATTTGTTTGTTTTTTTTTTTTTTTTGCACAAATGAAATGTAAATATAATGTGGAGTTGTAAAAGACTAAAAGTATTAAAATTAATACTAATATTTATTTTAGTTTTAAACATTTACTAGAATATTTTTATACAAAAGATGCAAGAGATTTCTCTTAGGCTCAGAAGTTTACTTGGCAAAGAAGAAAAAAAAGCTTCTGTTGGATCAGCATGATACTCCATCAGGTAAGCAGCTTGACCAAGGTAACCCAGCAGAAGGCATGGCAGAACAAGAAGCAAAAAAGTAAGCTGAAAAGAAGACAAGTTTACACTTAATATATGTGGCACACTGGAAAAGGGTTACTTGTTACAAAATAAATAAATAACTTGTTCTGCACCCATAGCAATTATACTTTACCTGAATCGATCGCACAGAAAAGTAGCAAAGATCTGCAAACATTGCTTCAGAACCTGAAATAAAGTAATAAACTTCAGCACTATACCCCAGAAAGTAATTATTGAAAATGAAAATAAGTAGCAAACTGTTTCTTCATTCTAGGGGTTCACTGAAACTTGTAATGCACATCTTTCACCATCTATAAGACTTTCTTTTTTACCAAGAATTGAGAGAGAGAGAGAGAGAGAGAGTAAATAACAACATCAAACTGCAGAGCACACAGTTTCCAGGTGTGAACTCAGGCAGTTTGAAGGGTTTGTTTCAACCTTATGGAGAATCGTGGTATACTTTGGAACCATAGGGAGGTAACACAAACCACAGAAGCTATATGAGAAAAAAGGGGGAAGAAACGAAATATAAGTGGCTGTTCACTTTACAGTTTACATACAGCCCACAAAAACATAGAAGTATCTATTTCAAGAATTTCAAATTCCAAACCTACAATATGTACCTGTTGCACACAAAAGACAGCCGCCAAGTGCACGCCAGGCCTTAGTAGAATCACGCTTGAAATAGTAGTAGATGTGAACTGGATTAAATGCTCTCCATACACGGTTATCATACTTCGTAAGGTTATAAAGGCCAATGCCCCCAAGAGAACAAAACCAAATAAATAAGGCCGGACCAACTACAATCCCCATTTTACTTGTGCCATACTTCTGTAAACTGAACAAAATTACAAGAAATGCCACTGAAATTATCTTCACTTCATCTGCAAAAGTTGAAATGTGGAAGAAATAAATATGTGCAATTTTAAATGAAATGCAAATACATTCTATGATGTAGTTCCCAAGTTGATAGGCAAGGTAATCCAAAAAACTACCAGTGACAGCATGTTAATTTCTTAACATAATGATAAAATTATAACTTTAGTCAAGTGAGAGAGTCTAGATGTTGATGATTTAGAATAGCATTAATTTCAACTCAGTATTGGATATTTGGATGTCTTCATTTACCAAAACAATGCAACAATAGGAGCTATTCCCACAAAGAATGTAAATAAAATAAAGACAATTCACTGGCTCACAATGCAAAAATCAAATTTATCAAGTTCATATAGATGCACTCCAATCCACAAATCTACTCTGTATTTAGGGTCTTTCAGTGATAATGCAAGACTAGTATCTTCTTGAAGTTTGACATTGGGCTGTCAGATGCCTGGATCCAAGCCAATAATTGAAAGGAAAAAAAAAAAGTGTTGACATTATAGAACAGTAGAAAGGCCCACGCATCAAAAGTAGTAATGAAATAGATGTGACCTTACAAAGCAAAATTTCACGAGCTCACTTGAGTTGCAACATACTTTACAAAGCAATTAATCTGTACTTACTTGCAAATGTACATAATGAAACACAATCACATATTGCATTGATAATTGAACAAGGAAAACACAAATGAGTTTTATCCCTAATATCCTGATAAAGAATGTACTAACAGCAACTTTCTCAAATCATTCTTCTAACTCAAGTATGATGATTTTGAGCATGAAAATGTAGCAGGAATTAAATTATAAAAATGAAAACCAAGGAATGATGTGATTTTGTTCTCACTAGAAATAACCTTGCTGAATTGCAGCAACTCCAACTTTTAAACCACCCATGGCAGACATCACTGTATTAAAAATAGTAGAACAAGATGAGTCTCAAGTGATAAAAGTGATGAATAAAATAAATATTGAATATGTTAACACAAAAAGACAAACCAGTAAGAAAGAAAATGGTTTAAGTACAAAAAGAAACCTGACATAGCAGGAGTTACTACACCGACAGCTATCACCATGGAGGTGCCAGCAAGAACCAACATCAGAAGAAGCCTTTTCAATGTAAGTGAAGACTCAAGTCTTTCTTTTATTTTTAAAGACCTCTCAAGTTCTGGGGATGGAACCTTGAGTCTGAAGCTAGATATGCGACTGTCTGATGGCAGTTGATTGGGGAGAAGACTAACATTAGCATGCCTACAAAGCAATGAGTACAAAGCAAATGTACCACCTGCAGTTATGAATCAATGAGAAACCAAGTTCATTTATGAACCATATTGCTACAGCATCCATAATAATAATAATGTTCAAGAACCTCCTCTGCTCACCTTCTCCGTCATCGTTGGCCCAAAGAACAATAAAGACATACTTAACCAATGGAAACAGAAACAACGTATACAGGACCATTGAAAGCGCCCCAAGAACATCTTCATCCCCAGTAATAGGGGCTTTACTAAACATCACACTAAAAGTATACAACGGACTCGTCCCCACATCACCAAACACAACTCCAAGCGTCTGGAAGGCCAATGCAATTTTCCTCACTAAAGTAGCATCCTGCAATTACAAAACCAAACAAGGACACCAAGTTATTACTCCCTCTGTCCCATTTTATGTGTCTGGTTCGGTTAACGAAGCTTGAGTGAAATTATTTTTAATTCAATTTTTCATAATATTAAGTTTAGTATTAGTATACAAAATTTATATATCTAGAAACTACACTAAAAGTACTATTAAACATTTTTTTAAAAAATCAAATTAAAAAATGAGTAAAAAATACTAAAAAAAAAAATAAACAAAGAAGAAATAGTTAGTTTGACCAATGAATACTAAGTAGAATAGATAAAATGAGATTTAGTCACCTCCTTTCATTTCAAACCAATCATCCTCAGGTAAATTATCTCGTAATGCAGGAGTCATAGTGAAGTAAGATTTAGTGTATGATTTATGTTAGCAAGAGTAGTAGAAGGTTAAAGCGTTGAAGCAACAGTAAATGATAAAGCACCTCAAAGTCACTCCTCTGAGCGCCAGGGACCTCAAGAGCCTCAACATCGAAGGAATCAATCCTCGGACCAGTCCTAATCAGCCTCTGCTCAGCATTATCCTCGTCGTCTTCGGAGTACATCCCATTCCGCGGCAGCGACTCGTCCCCGCTCTCGCCCGCATCCGTGCCGTCATTATAGATCTCCGACTCATCCTCCTCGTCCTGGAACACCCAGCGCGACTCGATCGAGTCGAGAGAGCCTAATCCGCCGTACTCCCTCTCCGATCCCTCGTCCGCCATCTCCAAACCTAACTCACGTCCGTAGTAACCATTACATTACACGCGGAAAAAGCACAGCAGAGTGATTGCGAGGTGAAACCCTAGAAATTGAGAAGAATTTTTCGAGTGAGATTTCTGTGTGTGTGTGTTAGCTCAGAAGGTCATGAGAGTTGGAAGGGAAAGACTGAAAGATGGAAATGATTTCAAGCGTTAACTGTCGTTATAACAGACAGTGAAGCATTAGCGCCTCTACTGCTCCCTCCGCTTTAAATCGCTCAATTTTTTAGTTTCACGGATGAGTAATAAAAGTAAGAAAAGTATATGTCGTCTACTCGTCTGTGTGTTTATCCGATTCTGTGATACTTCAATTATTAATTGCCATCTTAGGATTAGTTTGGAATGCACAATTAATAATAATAATAATAATAAATCAAGTCTTTTTTTAAACTAAAATTATTCCCAAATCAATCATTCATTCACTAGTTTTTCTTTAGTGGAACTTACATTTTATGCAATTAAACAAGTAAAATCTCAATTACCATGTAATGTAATGGTATCTTGGTTATCACTTCAGATAGATGGTTATAGGTTCAAATCAAAAGGTTTAGATTTTTTAGGTAGATAGTCACATGTTTAAATCACGGTGATGGAGGTTTAGATTTTTTAGGTAAATGGTCATAGGTTCAAATCACGATGATGGAAGTTTAAACTTTTTAAACTGAAAATATTTGAGAAAATATATACTCCGTGACACATATTACTTTGTAAAGAATCATGCTTATTTCAATATAGAGTTAATCAACGATTTGGTCCCTCAATTATTAGCGAACTGCCAATGTAGTTCCTCAATCGCTTATTTATCGATTTGGTCCCCGAAAACAATTATTTTTAGTCGATTTAGTCCCTCCGGTCGTCTTTCGTCAACAATTCGGAGGGACTAAATCGACTAAAAATAATTGTTTCGAGGGACCAAATTGATGAATAAGCGATTGAGGGACTATATTGACAGTTCGCTAATAATTGAGGGACCAAATCGTTGATTAACTCTTTCTAAATATATATATATATATATATATATATATATATATATATATTGAATTTTTTTTTTAAAAATAAAAAGTTATAATTCTATGTGACAATTTTTATTTTTATTTTGTTTTGCGTACAACATTGAATATCTCCACTATTATAAAATTAATTTGAATTACACCTACTAACCCCAAAAATAAATTCTTTAACATGATGCATTCTTTACAAAATTCATAGTACATTAACAGTTTTACTTACGAATTGCTCCAAAGTATTAAACAAGTTTTCACTATTGGACACCATGATTAATCTCCTCACTGAATTGTAAACACTTCTAATAGGTACAACAACTAGCATAAAAGTTTAAGACTGTCCCATTTCAAAGTCAAAGATCAAACCCTTAACTTAGATAACTTTGTTTGATAAATGCAAAGGAACCTAAATAAAGGCTCTTGTTTTAGTTTATTTTGAGATCCTAAAACATGGTGTGTGCTTGCAAACTTTGATTATGATTCACAAAAATCACACGGCTAGATAACATAGGATACAACACCACTACTCTGACAAGGAGACAAATGAACCACCTCAAGTCCTACAACAGGGGATGTGTAACTATGTAATCTAGTATGTGTATGTCATTCAAGTGTCTCTCTCGTCGTTCTACCGTCTACCCAGTTTTCTAGTCAGCAGCTTAAGTCGATAAAGTACCAGACTCAAAACTCAAACATCTACCACAAAAATCTTTTTAAACAAGACGCTATGAGGAAACTCGGGAAATCTCTGCCTGTGATGTGGTGGTTGCAATTGCATCCATCACATGCTTTCTTGCCTGTACTTTTACTGTACTCGCTTTCGGCTCAGCTTGCTTCTGGTTGGGCTTGCGGAACCTCTTCGTATGTGCCAGAATCTTCTTTATATGAATACCTACATTTGATATGTACGAGTGACAAGAGTAAGAGTTTGTATCACGCTCACTAAACAACTTATTCAACCAACAAAGTCGGGGGCACAGTTTAGATAAACAGCTTTTAATGAAGCGTTTTTCAATGAGCGTATTCTGATAAGCTGAAAACGAGCTCAAAACAACTTTTCAAAAGTCAAATTTGTACCATAAGGTCCAAAGATAATGGATAACTGAAAATGAGTTATAAATAAACATGCATGAACCACATTAGATGAGCAAATGAAGCAGGAAAAGGATACATGAGAAAACCAAATCAGAATGGAACTGTCAAGTATTTTCCTCTTCTATGAAATAATAAAAGTGAATCAGTTATTCATTACCATTGTCCTGAAGCCGCGTTGCAGTACAGTCCCGATGATGGATCGTAATAGTAGCCCAAACTGCTGCTATAGTAATAGCTACAAGAAAATAACAATAATAAGGGAGTGAGGAACCAAGATAGACAGAAGGCATAGTATAATGAGTTAATGATGATATGAAAACTCCACTATCTAATTACTCAGTCTTGCATAGAATTTAGAAAGGAACATACCCAGATGACTCATCATATACATAGTCATTTTGCAGAGTACCTGCATCCCAAATAAACAGGTTATGTATGGAGAAGGAGGATGGAGAGCAAAGCAGTTTAGGTGTAATTCAGCATTTTGAAACATACCCTCACTTGAGGTAGGATTGGTAGGAGGGTTTTCATCATCTTCTGCGAACATGTCAAAGGAATCATCACCATTGCTCATAGCAGCAGAGGCATTTGGATTTGAAGGACCTGCATTAACACTAGAGAGTGATGAAGGCCCCTCCACTGCCACACTAGGAATGAAATCTTCATCAAGGACACTATCAGAATTATTCTTCTTGAACTCCATGGAGGTGCCCAGTGTCTTGGCTTGAGCTAACCTCTCATATCCCTCTGGATCCAATCAGAAATCCCAAAAGAGAGAGAGAATGGAAAAGATTCAAATCTCAGGTATATATAACCAAAATAAGTAATAGAAAATGCAACTGGTGATTTAAAAAGAAGGGGAGAGAGAGAAATATGCAAGTATTTAAGGTCTTTCCTGTTTCTTTCTTCTTAAAGTAAACCTAATTTTTTAGTAGTCACTCCCCCCAACCCACCCCCAAAAACGAAAGAAATATATGTGCCTTATTCAGCCACAGGAGCGAGGAAACAGAGGGAAAATCTATTTATAATAGAGATAATACAATGGCAAATACCTGCTTCACGCTGGAAACTCTCTTGTCTTTCATCATAGACATCTGTAAACAAATATTGGTCCTAGTTATGGTTTGTTATTTCATTGCCCCTTAGAGATATATGTGTGTGGACAAAACAAGCACTCAACTGTAATCCCCGTTCTCCAACAGCTTCATGGCATCCTCTGTTAACTGATCAAAGAGATGTTTGTTTTCTGTAGACATTTTCTCCTTGTTATTTGAAGTACCTTTTAACCTTCTTAGTGCCTGTAAAACCTGATAGAAGAATATAAAAAATGCTGTCACTAACAACAACAAAATTTGTTGTAAGTAACAAAGAACTTGTTTCTATATTTGGTCATTTTAAATTTTTTTAGCCAGTGCTTCCAACTCATGGTGATTACAATAAAGCTACTATAACATGTAGAACCACCACCTCCCCAACCCCCTCTCTCTATTAGTCTAATTTGATGGCATTACATCAAGAGTAATGAGAGAACCAATATGCAACTATACCATAAACAATATTCAACAATACCATTTTTCTTTTAGTAAAGACAAAAGAAGTGCTGCAATAACTAGATGCAAGCCAAATTAGAGCAGCAATACAAACTATAAGCATTGATAAGGAGACCTTTCTTGGTAAAGCAATAGTGAGATGGGAAGCATTATGATAACACTAATATCCCAGGCAAACAATAAGAGACATGGTGAGTAGAATATTTACTGTTTCTCCAGGCTCAAGAACATCAGCAATTCGCCTCTTCATCTTCCCAAGTTCTTCTGATGTAAGATCACGAGCCTCATCTTCATTGGCTGTTATGACTCTTGTTTTCACAGCAGCTTTTGGATGAACATCAATGCTATCAAGCCATGCATCCTGAGAAAATTCCAGGTAAGTTTTCTTTTTCTTGTGCACCAGGAGAGAGAAAGAGAGAAGGGAGGAGTGGGGGGGGTGGAAGTGATCATTGGAAAGTTGAATTACCTTGATATCATTTTCATTGACATACTCAACATAATTTCCATTGGCATCAAAATAACCTTCTTCCCTCTCTTTGTTCAGATTGAAGGGTTCTATCTGAATCCCATCCTCAACAAATGTTTCATTATCCTGCCAAAAGTAACCCCCAGTGACTTTCTATCTTCAACTGGCTCATGAACATAAGGTCACCTAAATTAAACTATCATGAAGACGTAGTTGCTTATAAAATTTTGATAGAAATGAAGTGACTGTATTCAAGTTGAGAAAGCCAAAGCTATAGCAAGCTAGAACATTTATTCAACAACATCAGAAGAAGTATATGAAGAAATAAACCTCATATGCCTCTTCGGCCAGTGCTATGTTGTGAACCATTCCTCTATTTCCTTCATCAAGGAGGTCAGCTGTGATTTGACTTCGGCGCATTGCCCGCTCTTTGGCTGCAAGACGAGGATTCTTCCATCCACTTGGTAATTCCTCACTTCCATCCACCACATAATCACCACGCTTTAACTTCTTACCTTTTGGGAACCTTACCCTCTTTTCCCTAAGCCATTGTTAATGAAACAATATATATTAAATAAATAACAGGAAAGTTTATTCAGTCCTAACTGAAACTCTGAAAGTCAAAAATCACATCAAAATGCATTGAACAGATCCTTGTATAAACACTGTTAGCTCTAACTGGATATCAGAAGACAAGATTCAACCATGCAAAATCTCCTTAGGAAACACCTAGCTCCAGCTCGAGCTGATTGAAACTCAACGTTATATCCATATTACCTCGTTATTTCCATTTACAGAAACATGAATGCATACAAATACTGTTGAAACCCTAAATACAGCTCGGAAATCAAAATAAAATTATGCAAACCACGTACTAGCTCATTCAAATTAGGGTTCAGACAAATTAAAACAAACAACAGAACTACCGCATAATAGCATTTGCTATGCATATATAACATAATTGTGCGTGTGTGTGTTGGTGTGCACGCAGGAGAAGTGAGTTGATGGTTACGCGGAGGGTTTTTGGGAGTCGTCGTCGACGGAATCCACGAAAGGACGCTTGCGAGATCGCTGTGGTCCTCCTTCCTCCATGGCCTATCGTCGGCGTAGCTCCGAGCAGTTGGTTCGGCAATAAACCGTGATTCTATACAGCTAAGGCGATTGCCGGTCACTGTTTTTCCTTTCCAAAAATGCAATTTCAAATATCAATTCGGGCTCAACACATGACTCAGCATTCTTCTAAGATATATACGAGGAAAAGTTGTATTTTTCGTCTATAAATTATAAAGTAATTGTAGATTTTGTCTCTTAAGTACCATACTCACTTTTATTTTTCGTTCATTTATTAATAAAATATTAAGAATAAAATTTGTAATTTTAGTATAATTCAGAGACGAAAAGCGAGCACGAAATGACAAAAAATGCAAGGACAATGATAATTTAAGGACAGAAAGTGAGCATGACCAATACTCAGAGATAAATTCTACAATTATCTTATAACTTAAATACGAAAATACGGTTAATAAATTATAGATTCATGGGTGATTTATAGTGATTTAAGTTGTGTCACGTTAATTATTAACCTTATTATTTTTTTCTCTCTAGTTTCTCTCTAGGGTTTTTGCGGTTCCTACTAGGGTTTTCCTAGGTTTTCAACACCGATTGGTTCCTTTTGTCCGGACGATGGCCGGTGGTGATAACATGGATGTCGAAGGGCTGGGAAGGGAGAGGGAGATGGATGCGGATGATGAACGGATGAATGGGGAGTTGCCGGACGGTGCGGGTTTGCGTCGGTCGAATGAGGGGAGGCGGTTGGCGAAAGGAAATTTAGAAGGGAGGGCGGTTGGAATGGGCGAAGGAAATTTGGATGCTATGCGAAGAGAGGATGGGCTAGGGAGTGGCAGTGGCATGTGGCATGGAGGGGAAAGCTTAGCTGGAAAGGTGGGCAGATTTGGGGGGATTAAGGAGGGTAGTTTAGATGGGAGGGGTGTGGGCAGATTTGGGGGGATTAAGGAGGGCAATTTAGATGGGAGGGGTGTTGGCAGTAGGGGGCGGCGTGAGGGAGAGGAAGGGGGGGCGGTTAGGCAGCCGGGAGGGGTGGAGGACGTGGCGGAGTTGTCGGATAGGTGGGCGGATTGGGCACTGCTGGAAGAGGAGGGTGCGGTGTTTATGCCGGGAGGAGAGAACGACGGGGATGAGGGTGACAGGGAGGATGAGGAGGAGACATGGAGGGTGGTCGGGCGGTTCTTGACGCAAAAGCAAATCAAACTGGATTTTATGAGACAGGTGTTAGCGTCAGTATGGCAGCCAGTGCGTGGGGTGCAGGTAACGGAGATTCAGAGGGGTTTGTTCTTATTTGTTTTTTTCCACAAAACGGATATGGACTACGTTCTGAATGGGGGACCCTGGGCTTTTGAGAACAATGCTCTGGTGTGTCGGGAGGTGGTGGACGGGGTGAATCCTATGGATGTGAAGCTGGACATGATTGATATGTGGGTACAGCTGCATGACATGCCTAAGGGGTACACATCTCATGCAATTCTGGAACAGGCAGGGAACTTTTTGGGCTCTTTTGTTAAGCATGATGAGCGGTTTGAGGGGGCACCATGGTTGACTTTTCATCGTATACGGGTGTCAATACCGGTTGATAGGCCACTGAGGAGGAGAATGAGATTGATGAAAAGGGACAGGACTACAACTTGGGTTAATTTCAGGTATGAGCGGCTGCATAAATTTTGCTATTTTTGTGGTTTTATGGGTCACTTGCATACGTTTTGCCTACAAGCTAGGGAGGCGGGGGTGCCAATGGATAGGTATTTGTACGGTCCGGATATGCGGGCTGGTGGATCCCGGAGCGCTCCTAGAGCGGTTGGGGATAGCTGGCTCGTGCCGGTCGGTGGGAAACCACATCCATTGGTGAAGCCACGGATGATTGGGGCAGTAGAAGGGGAGAGGAGAACTGAGGGAGTAACGCCCACGAGTATGTCTGAAGATGAGGTGGTGGTGGCTACGACAAAGCGTCGTAGGCATGGGACGGAGGGGGGGGGGGGGGGGGGGGGGATAGTGGAAATGATGAGGTAACAGTTGCAGCTGGTTCAAAAAACTTGTCCATGGCGGGAGCTGGTGTCCAGCCCCGCCCATCATCATGAGTACTTTGAGCTGGAACTGTCGTGGCTTGGGCAATCCACGCACAGTTCGACAGATTGTGGGCCTAGCGGCCAGTAAGAAGCCTGATTTTGTGTTCTTGATGGAGACCAAGGTACCACGGGTACATGCGGAACGGATCCGGGTTACGCTTGGCTATGAAGGTTTGTTTTATGTTGATAACGATGGTTTGAGTGGAGGAATGGCGCTTTTGTGGAAGAAGAATAATACGGTGAGATTTTTAAGCTATTCGCAGAGTCATATTGATGTGGAGGTAAGCTTGTTTAATAAGTTATGGCGCATGACATGCATTTATGGTATCCCCGAGCGTGGTAGGCGGGAGGAGACATGGGATTTACTTGGTGCTCTCAAGACTAGATCCTTATTGCCCTGGGTGGTGATAGGGGATTTTAATCATCTACTATATCAGCATGAGAAGAAGGGGGGAAATCCGTATCCTAATAGTCTGTTACGGGGTTTCGGAGATGCTGTGGATGACTGTGGTTTGATGCAAATGCCAATGAGGGGCCATCAATATACGTGGCAGAAGGGGAAGGGGACGCCGAATTGGATAGAGGAAAGATTGGATAAGGCTTTAATAACGAATGATTGGGGTCTGCTCAATGAGAATGCAATGCTGGAAAATATTCGAACTCGGGCATCGGATCATTCGATCCTATTCCTCAGTATTAATGCGATTTGCATGACAAGGAGAAGGGGACCGCGGAAGTTTAGATTTGAAATGGCTTGGCTATTAGATGAGGGGTGCAAAGGAATAGTAGAAACGGCCTGGCAAGAGGGGAGAGCGGAGGGATTGCTGCACTGCCAACAGTTGTGTGGAGAAAAGTTGATGCGGTGGGGTGGAGATCAGTTCCATAAATTTGGAAAGCGAATTAACCACCTGCAGCGGAGGCAAGATGCCATACGGAATAGACGAGATTTGGTAGCTCTTGCTGAGTACCAACAGATTGAGAATACCATGAAACGAGTAGAGGCCCAGGAGGATGTGTTTTGGAGGCAGCGGGCCAAGCAACACTGGCTACGCGGGGCTGATGCGAATACAAAATTTTATCACAGGTATGCTTCTACACGCCGGAAAAAGAATTTTATTTCTACTATTAAATGTGATGCTGGTAACTAGGTGGAGGGGGATGATATGCATGCTGTTATACAGAATTATTTTGAAAATATTTTTGCCTCAAATGGACTGAGTTGTAATGATCCACTTTTTGGAGTCCTAACCACACGAGTAACGTTGGAGCAGAATATGATGCTAGACCGCCCTTTTGAAACTAATGAGGTTAAAGAGGCTCTTTTTTCAATGTATCCGGATAAGGCACCGGGGCCGGATGGGTTGAACCCGGGTTTCTACCAGCAGTTTTGGGGGATAGTGGGAGGAGATGTATCTGGTTTTATAATTAATGCCTTGAATTCCTGTGTATTCCCTGAAGGATTAAATGATACTAACATTGTCTTGATACCGAAGAAGGAGATGCCTGAGACAGTAGCAGATTTAAGGCCGATCGCACTGAGTAATGTCATTTACAGAATTATGGCCAAAATGATAGCAAATAGGATGAAAACATTGATAGGAGGATTGATCTCAGAATCCCAGAGTGCTTTTATCCCGGGAAGGCTAATCACGGATAATATCCTGGTGGCAGCGGAGGTGGGGCATTATCTGAATAGAAAGCAATGTGGTATAGTGGGATGGAGTGCATTAAAGCTAGATATGTCAAAGGCCTATGATAGAATGGAGTGGAACTTTCTGGAAAGGATGCTGAATGTTATGGGTTTTAGTGAGAAATTGGTAAAGCTCATTATGATGTGTGTAACGACTGTTAATTATACTGTAATGATTAATGGTATAGAAGGGGGGCACGTAAAACCAACCAGGGGACTCAGGCAGGGAGACCCGCTCTCTCCATATTTATTTATTATTTGTGCAGAGGCTCTCTCGATGATATTGCAGTATGAACAGTTGGCAGGTTCAATACATGGGTGCAGAGTAGCAAGGGGGGCACCGCCTGTATCACACCTATTTTTTGCGGATGATAGTCTCCTATTTTTTAAAGCAAATATCCAGGAGGCAGGAGTTATAAGGCAGTGCCTTGCAAGGTATGAGAAATTGTCAGGCCAGGCAGTGAATTATAATAAATCAAATATATGTTTTAGCAGAAATACCCAGGAGGCTGACAGGGCACAGGTGGCGAATTGCCTGGGGGTGGTGCAAGCACCCAATTTTGGGAAATATCTGGGCCTACCATCTTTTGTAGGGAGAAACAAGAGAGCTGTTTTTTCGTATGTGGAGGAAAAAATCAGGCAACGAATTGGTTCGTGGAGTAAAAAGCTACTCTCTCAGGCTGGTAAGGAAGTATTATTGAAAAGTGTAGCACAATCTATGCCTACCTTTTCGATGAGTGTTTTTTTGTTACCTGAGACAGTTTGTCAGTCAATTGAGCAAACTATGAATAAATATTGGTGGGGCAGTGGAAGAGAAAGGGGAATACATTGGAAGGCATGGGACAGGTTATGCATACCAAAAAAGTATGGCGGTATGGGTTTTAAAGAGCTGAGGGCTTTTAATATAGCAATGCTAGGTAAACAGGCATGGCGGTTTTTAACAGACCCAGAAACACTCGTAGCCAAAATCTATAAGGCAAGGTATTATCCCACAACTAGTTTTACAGATGCAACTATTGGTAATTGCCCGAGTTATTGTTGGAGAAGTATAATGGCGGCCCATGCAATGGTAGTCTCAGGGGTGCGAAGGAGGATTGGGAATGGACAGACAACCCTAATATGGGGACACCCGTGGTTACGAGACAATCCTAGCCCATTGATTCAAACAGAAATGCCACAACAATTGAGAGAGGCGCGAGTTGCAGGACTAATTGATTTACAGACTCATACCTGGGATCCGCATATTCTGTCTGATTTATTTATTCCTGAAGATGTGGAGCGAATAAATATGATCCCTGTTAGTCCTGAGTATGAGGACTCATGGTATTGGATGAGTGACCCAAAGGGGACATATACAGTAAAGAATGCCTATAGGCATATTGTGGGAGATTATGAGAATAATCCAGCGAA